CGGAGAAATTAATCAGCAGGTGATGATTAACAATAGTAAATCCAAATCTAAGCGTTTCTATGAGAAGCGTCTTCCCATGCTAATAAAAAGGGTTGTTTTCTGTCTGGGCCGCCTGTCCTCTCAGCTGGAGCACCGCTGGCTTCCTGGGAGGATGTTGGCCTGCAGTTTTCTGCAGCTGTGGAGGAAACAACAGGCTAACATATTGTGACGGCGTGGAGGAACCCACAGGCCAATACGGGTGTTAGCACGATGTCATTAGGAAATCTGAACACAAATATTAGGACACAGGCTTGTTTTCACAACACAGTTAAGCCTTCTGGTTAGAAGACTGAAGAATTCATTTTTTATGCTTAAATGAACAAAACAATCCAAAATATCAGGTGTCACTCCCAGATTATACACAAATAAAAAGAAACATTTTTTCAGACTGAGGGTGAATCTTATAACAGGAAATATGACTGTGGCCCTTCTGTTAATTATTATTAATATTATTTTTAAAAGTATTGGCTCCAGCAGAGCAGCTGCTAGACGAGCCTGAATGATGCTCCTTTTCTAACTGATGCCTCAGACGCTGTTTTTAGGCTGGACTCCTTTAGTCTCAGTTATTTCAACGAATGCTACAGTTAGTGAGAAACTGTCTCCGTTGTCTGTTAGGGTCTCTCCCTGTGCTTCTTAGTTGGTGAAACCCTGTGTGACCAGAACAGGCAGGAATATTGGCCCCACTGTATCTGTTCTCCTTTGCAAGAAAGATATAAAATAAATGCTGGCTACACAGAAAAACAAAGGATCTTAAGTTCTTGTTAAATGAGACAGAGATATTTTTTCCATCAGCATGCACCCTTTAGGCAATTCTTGTTCCTGTATGTTTCTCTAATGTATATCCCATCAAAAAAAAAAACGCCTCTCACCTTTTTCTTTGGAAGAGTTTTTCTCATAAATGCAAGTTTTTACACGTTGCACACATACAGTACATCAACTGGAGGATCTACATGTAAATTAAAGTCAACTGTAACCTTTCTGGTTAAACTGCCTGCAGATATTTGATGGAGCTGCAGGTGTTTAAGACCAGGAAGCTGTCTAGTAAGATCCTGGTTCTGATTGACCTGATTATTCTGCATCCCTCTCTGTATTTTTGGGCTCATCTATCAGGTCGGCTGAGGGGAACATCTGAGCTGACCTTGTCTCCATCCAGGACTAAGCTAATAACCGTCTGTAGGTTTTTATTGCTGACTGTTCTGGAGGATTTGAGCAGATTGTCTTTTTTTAAGCAGTCCTTAAAAAATAAAGTTATTAAAATCAGCCTTGTGGCGTAAAGAAGTGTTTTATGAGCTGATACCTCTGGAAATTGTTTGAAGTCGTTGTCTAACATTTAATCCATCTTGTAATTTGACGGCTCTGTGGTTACGGTGGTGAGATTTCTGCTGACAGTAGAACTTTTTTTCAGTTTTGAGTCACAGGGTTTGGAGTTTGTGGTAAAAAGACTCCATTTAAGAGCAATGTATCACTGACTATACATATTTAATTGAAGGCTCATTGTTGGGGAGCATGCTGCTCAGTTGTTCAGTGGTTTTTTCTCTGTTGCCTTGCAGTATTAAAGGGTTCTGGATTAAAAGCTTGTCTTTGCTGGTGTATTTCTGTCTGGAGGCTATGGTAGCTTCCTCCTACAATCCACGAACTGGGGATTTTAGACTAACTGAAAGTCAAGGTTTGCTATAGATGTAGAGAAATGGCTGTTTTTCTATTGTCGGCCCTGAAATAAGCTGCTGATTTTTCCTCTTGACAATCAGCTTCTAAAGATGGAAATAATCACATCTGGATGCTACGTCAGTCTGGAGGACTCAGAAAATTAGTTTCACTAAATTACCTGAGAGAAGATTAGAAATGGGAGGAAAATGGTGAATGCAGAATTTAATACTGAACTAACACAAACGATTTAAGAACGAATTTGTGCATAAGACCACTTCCATGAGGCCCAATGTTTGATCAATGCAGATTTTTTTTTTTTTTTGTTGTTGTTGAAATTTTGACTAAAAACAAGATAAATTTAGCCACAAAAAGTTCTTATACGTTTCCTAAGGGGTGGACCCGCTCTTCTGGTTTAATTAAATCAAGTTTTTGGGCTACTATATAAAACTTCGAACTCAATTTTGAATTGAAACAGCTTCCTGGATGGGAAGCGAAATGCCTTCAAACTTGGAAACCAAGTCCAGTCAGTGGATTGTTTTTGTTTTTTACTTTTTGGAATATATATATTTAGAAGTAATAGGTTTAAATGGAGGGGATCAGTATTTCTGTTGCCTTTGCTTAGATATTGATATGAAAAAGAACAACAACCAAAAAGCTTTGGACGTTGCAGTGTTTACACTAAACTGTCCTGATATATTTGCATTTATAATGAAAGAGAAAATAAATGTTGATAATTGAATATTTTCTTCCTGATCAATTTGTCTTCTGTGAAGTGATGGGAAAGAGTCAACATCTTTAATCCAGCTGAACAAAGCCAAAGATACATTACTCTGTGATTTAATGAATTTGCATAAAGGTCACTTCTCTAAAATATCTGCTTTAGTTTAATAAGTTAAGCGACAGGGTCGGCCGAGGGCACTAGCTACGTTTACATGAACACAAATAATCGGAACAATCGTAGATCTGACTGAAAACGAGTCGTTCAAACATGCCAGTTTGAATATTTTGATCAGTATGAATTTGCCATCAGACTGGGATTATGCCGATTATGGGCTTAAGCCGACTGACGGTTCGATCAGCATGAAGTTAAATGCTTTTCAGGATCAAGTTATTCTGAATGCGGCTGAGCTGAGTGGATAGATGAATATTCCAATTCACACATCTGCAGTTTTACTGTTTTATTATTTCAATTTATTACTTTCTAAATGGTACAATCTGATTATTTTTTGTTTTTTAATCTTCAGTCTGACAATGAAATTTTGTGCAGGTAAACGCAGCTACTGATGCAGCACAGGAAAGGTGGCCATTTAACTGAAGCAGAGCAATTAACTCAGGGCGATTAACGAAAAGAATGTATAGAATCTCAGTAAATATTGATTATCAGCGATTTCAGCAGCACTGATATTGAATATCAGCCCAGAATTACTAATCTGGGCATCTTTACTTTAAACTGTATGAACAAAGCGATGGGAAACTTTGTTTCAAATTGCTCAGGTCAGATCGGCATACAGTGTTATCGTCAGAACCGGGTTGACCCTCTAATTAATGCGATACCACGAAATGCAACAAAAGTAGGTCAGACGTTAAGTTTAAGTTACTCAAAAGTCGTGGCGTCTAACTTATCCAAAACCTCTGAGTAACGTGTGCATAACTTATGCGTAACTTTAGCAAGAACTTCTCTTGACGTGTTTCAGACAACCGCTGAACACATTTCTAACTTCCAGCTACCATTTAATGGCGTATTGGCAGCGTTTTGGTATAAAAGTGGTTTCACAGGAGGTAATATTAGTTCTCCTCTAGACTGCATCCCCATAATGGGGTGAGACACAAGGTGGGTGTGATGGATCCTCCCTGCATTTATGTTGCTGTGCATGCGTTATGCATAAGTTAGGCTGTCGTTGGGCATAAGCTCTGGACTCGTTATGGTTACTCTGTGTATACGCCCAAAATGGAAAAAAAAATCATAGAAAGTTCAGCGTATGCCAGCATTTTAGAGATTCAGGACATCAGGCATACGCCGGATAAATCAGCAAGGTGTGACAGGGCCCTAACCTAGCATGATGGCGTCACCAGACATGCAGCGTTTGGGTCAGAGGTCAGGCAGCTTTCCAGGTTTATAAAAACCGGCTCATTTCAGTGGGAAAGAGGCTGAAGTCTGGTGAAGGGCTGTTTGATGAGAGAATGACAGACTGATGGGGAAAAAGCCACATCCTCGTTGTTTCATGGCTGCTCTGTCCCTGCAGGTGAACTGATTCTGTCTCAGCTTTGGTCTTTAATGAATCCGATCAAAGCTGCATCAGCAGCAGGATTTTCCTGTTTCTACTGAGCTTTAGTTTTAACTCAGCAGGACTTCCTGCCGTCTCCTTTCTGTCACCTGCTTCTTCTTCAGTCAGTGGTGCAGCTCTATGTACAGCTGCGCCGTTTGTTGGTACAAATGATTTATCTAAGCTTTTATGACAGCTTCATGATGCACCATTGCTGCATCTGCAGATTTTGATGTGCAAAAGCTTGTCTTCCTGTTAAAGGTCCAATAGTTTAAATCTCATCTGATCTAACCTTTATATTCATTCTTCCATGTTCTGCAGTTTCTTTACTTGTTTTTTTTTTTACTTCACACTCCCTCCTCTGTGCTTTGTTGATTGTCCTTTAATGGTGATGTTTTTCCAGCTCCATTCCTGCCCTAATTACCTCCCTCTAATCTTTGGTATCATCCTTTTTTTGTTTTCCTCCCTCTTTTTTAAACCCTGAAGATATTTTTCCCTCCCCCTTTTTTCTCACTTCCTCTGTTTCTTTCTCTTGTCATCATCTCTTGTATCTTTATCCAACCAGCTCACCCCACTGCACCCCATCATGCTCCTAATGAGAACACCAATGAGTCCCCAAGGGGCCCCTAACGAGGGGCTCCCTCTGTAAGTCTGTGTTGCAGCAGAAATGCCCACAGGCCCCCATAAGTAGCGGTTGTGTCTGTTTGCAGCCGCGCTCCGTTTGCCTTCACAGGAATTTGGCAGCTCAGCTCACGGTTGGCGTGTCTGAGTGTGAGCTTGTCACAGTGCTGTGGTGTGTGTGTGTGTGTGTGAGTTTGGGCCCCTCTATGCGCCTCCTGACCTCTCATGGAGGGCAGTGATGGGTAGCCTTTCGCTTTTGTCCAGACAAATTACCAACTCTGAGGACTTAAATGTGTGATTAAGAGTTTAAAGAGATTCTCTCCTGTTTTATTGAATTTATTTAAGGAAGAAAGGATGTAAAAAGCAATGCTGGTACTTTGACATCTTTGGCTGCATCTCATGAAGTCATTTTTTTTTGTTTCTCTGCAGGCTTTTGGTAACGCTAAGACGGCTCATAACAACAACTCCAGCCGCTTTGGAAAGTTCATCCAGGTCAACTATCAGGAGAGTGGCACCGTCAGGGGGTAAGAGTGAAACAGCAGATCTGAAAAATGCTTTTTATCATGAGTTTGTGGTGATCGACCAAAACAAAGTAGATCATACAGTTGTAGCCAATCAAAATTTCCCCACTTTCCTTGATGGATCCTTGGCTGGTCCCCTAGAATTCCTAAAAAACGTCCTAAAATTAGCGCAGACCACGCTTCAATTTTGAGCAAAAATAAAAAATGTCTTTCGCCATTCCTGCGACAAGCTCACTGAGACACACTGCTGCAGGAGTATAAGCAGCCCTTAAGGCCTCCATGCATGGGTGGTGTGCCCTAACCACTGCACCACCAAAGCACGATTGAGGACCACTTATTTTGATGATCCACCCGGAAAAAGAACATCCTCCACTATACCTTTGAATCTACTGAATATCTTGTAAAGTTATCTACCCTCTTTACAGTCAATACCTAATTTTTCTCTGTACAAAACACCTCAGGACTGGGAGTTCAGTAGTAGCATTTAAATTTCCCCACTTTCCTTTCTGGGCCCTTGGCTGGTCCCCTACAATTCCTTTTTAAACATTTATCTTTGTACTAAAATATTCTTTCTGCCATGATTTGTGGACATTAAGATCTAAAGAGAAGCTTCATCTCCTGGTCAACCCCTGTAATTTACTGAAAGGATGGAATCAGAGTAAAGCAATATTTAAGAGGCGGGTCATTCCATTGGCTGGAAGTTGGAGGGGATTTTGCTGGGAGTTGCAGGGCAGTTGGCTGCCATTTGGCTGGCGTTTGACTGGGAAGGGCCATTTTGAATTTCTGCCACTGTAATTATTCAGCAGAAGGAAACTGATTTATTGTTGGAAAGTTTTAAATGTTTGTAATGTAGTTTGTTTGTAGCTTTGTGGAGAGACTAAAGGGTCATAGGCGACTAAGGCATTGTAATCAGAGAAGAGGCCTAGAGGCCCATGGTTACTCTGGAGTAGCTGTAGATATTCACAGCTCAGGTAGCTCGGGTAACGCATTTAGTGAAAAATTCTGCAATCTGGTCTTTCATCAAAAGAAGCAAGAACAAAGCATTTGGTAACAGAAAAGAAGAACAGATCCCAGATAAATATTTTCGGGAGCCACGTCAGAAACACTGCATACATGTAGGAGGAGGAGCTCTGCTCCCGATGAGGAGAAAGATGGAAACTACAGATGCACGTCAAACCCACCACACACTGTCTATCTTTCTCTTCCTTTTTGTTGTTAGTTCTTTTCTTCTTTATTTCTGTTTTTCTTTCTTTCATTCAACCCAGCCCCACCCCCCCTTGCCCAGTAAGCCGCTTGTCCGTTTACAAGTCAGCCCATGTAGTCCTGAAATTGCTTGGCTTGGCGGGTCAGTAGGTAACAGAGTGGTGCAGACCTTTTACCCCCTTTCTTACCACAGGATTTTACAAACCACAACGACTTGGCTAAAATTTGTCAGACCTTGTACAAAAACAGTTGTTTTTTTTTTTATACAAGTGGGCTTATGATGATGCATGGTGGTGGCAGCATCAGGATGTGGGGATGCAGGGACAGGGAATGGTCTGGATCCAAACAGCTATATCTTTGTTTGGCCTTATTAGAGACATGAACTAAACTTAGGATCAGGGCAGGACTTGAAAGCAGCTCTTGCTAAAAAAAAAGACAACGATGAGCAACTCGGCAAAACTGAAAAAAACGGGAAATAATTTCAAATAGATGGCAAGAAAAAAAAAACAGAAATGCTCTTGGTTATAACTGCAGTAAAATATGATCATTGAAAGAATTCACCATGGGGGACTGAATAGTCATTTTCAATAAATCGGATTATCATTCAAAATTTAATTTATTCAGTAACTCCATATAGTAAGTAAAACTATTCACAAGGATTAATTACTAATAGACTGACCTTCTGTTTTATTGTCATTAAGAAGATTTTCCAAATGAATCTAAATAAAAAACATATTTAAGATTATATCATTATATTTATATTTTTTAATCCAGAAGTGAGTTTCAGAAAAAGTACATTAAAGGTCCTCCTTAAAGAAACTTTTAATTTGACAAACGAGTCTCAGTGCAAAGCATCTTCTGATTAATTAAAAAAGACAAATGAATGCTTTACTTTTCTGATTTACTCTTGTAGAAATATTTCAAAGCATCTCTTTTTACGGCACCCGCATCTGGCACGTACAATCTACATAACGTACTTTTAAGTTTGTGGCATTGATATGAAAAAAGCAGGATGAAGTTGAGCTTTTTTTTACTGTTGTAGTAAACATTTCTTATTGAACATTGAACAAAACCTGAAAAGACAGATGAAATAAAGTTGAAACAATTTAATCCCATAATTCTGGGACTTTTTCCCATTCCCTGTATTTATGGATCAGTAGTGAGAGACCAGCCTGGTGTCTGAGTCCACTGTCCATCCATTCCTTCATCCTAAGCTTCATCTCCCATCACATCATCATCAGCATCAGCTTTATCTAAAGACTGTTAAACATGGCTTTGTTTCTTTTCAGCGCGTATGTGGAGAAGTATCTGTTGGAGAAATCCCGGCTGGTGTACCAGGAGCACAATGAGAGGTGAGACCATCATCATCATCCGTCCTCCTCCTCTTCATTGGGTTGACTGATTTGCAGAATGAAGCTGCTGTAATTAATGTGATGAAATCTTTTTCTGACTAGTCTTTAGGATTATTGAACTTTATTTTGAAGATGTGCATTTTTACCAGACTTCCTCGTCGAGAAAAAAAAATGACAAATACATCTGAAATTCCCCGTTTTTTTTCTAAAGAAATTTCTTACATGTCAAAAGTAAAAAAAAAAAAAACGTATTAGGCCTGATGCCTGAACACTCCGGTTGTGTACGACTTTTTTTTATCTCCGATCCAATTTTTTCCCCATGTCACACTGACTGCGTATAGAGAGGCTCTGACTAGACAGGGGAGCAGATCTGTGCACATTTCTTTCACTTCTGTCTCTGTGCTGTATATATTAAAACTATTTCCCACATTTGACTTGGACAGATTATGAAAAGTTATTGAAAAAAAAAAAAAAAACCGGCATATTCTATAAAGCAGAGCCCCACTTATCGAGACGCTTTCCAGAGGGCAGCCATTCTCAAGCGTGGCCACTGGATAGAAAATTGCGCGTGCGCTGAGATCCAAAGTGCGTGTGGGAGGAGCTGGTGTGTGCGTAGAGCGATTTTCTCCTCCCGGAGCCGCAGTTTTTTCGTGCATGTGTGATTTTGTTGCGCAATGGTAGATAAACCATGCATAGAAGTAGTTTAACATACATGCAAGTATGTTTATTTTTCTTGCAGGAGTTTTGAAATAACTGTGACACCGTATTTATGTTTCATTGATTGTTTTTGCACAAGTCTGTTCTGATATGGTTTATGTGACTCCAAAACTGTCTTTTTTCCTGTGCAATTAACTGATTTTATTTTGTATTTTCCCCCAAAGAGGATCCATGTTACTTTGTAACCGCGTCTCTCTTCCTGTCAGACCCATGAAATTGCGACTGAATGGTCTGACTTACATAGACCTGAGATCTATCTCAATCGGAACTACGCAAGCCCCCGCGCATAAAATCGTGTTGAATGCGATCATCCCTATTCACTTTCAGTGAGCGCTAAATGGCATGACCTCGTCAGAGACTATTTTCTGTCTAATTGGACGCAAAATCGGATTTAGTGTGATCTGGACTTAAGTGTCTTATCGTTGCATAACAAACTGACGTCTTGGGCTTTGTGTACAGTAACCATGGAAACGCATCGGGAAACTCATATAAGCGATGGCAATTACTGTTGGCATTTCACTTAAATCTTAGCTTTGCTGCCCCTGATAAAAATGTTCCCATAATACAATGAATTAAAACTAAAAATTTGCATCCAAACAGCCACTGGAATGCCAGTCAGAGATACTGTAATACCTGCTGGCTGCCAGTAGGCGGAGAATGTCATCGCAGAGGGATTTGAGCATGGCTATAGGTGCTAGGGTAAAGATTTAAAGGAGTTGGACTTGTTTTATTTTTCATTCCCATCATTTGTTTCCTCTCTTTAAATCACTGAGTGTAAATAAAGCTAGCATCTGGATAAATAAAAAATAAAAAAAAGCAAAGACTGTTTGCAGGTTGCGAAGAGATAAAGTTATGTTTAATATTTAGGTTAGCTTCAATGAAACAACCTTCTTTGTTTCCTGTAAGGTTTTTCTACATTGATCACACTGAAATATCCTTGTTTCGGGGTAAATTACTGGCCTCCAACGCTCTGAGCATATCACAACCAGACTCCACCTGCGCTCACATCCTTAAAGTCATTTTTCATCCGGACAACACCATGACGCAACCTCTGTGGCGCCCGCTCCTCTCAGCTGTCCAGAAGTTTAAAGTAAAGCTCAGCTCTCCTTCGGGAAATTCAGCCTCATGTTCATGTTTTACCAACCGCCAACAAATCCCTCTAACGCAGACAGAGCTGGATTTTGGGTTTCTCCCTGATGACAGATCCTAGTAGCCATATTGATAGGGTAGGAACCAGAGGCGGGACCTCCCACACTCCTCAGGCCTGTAACAGAGAGATAGAGGAGGGAAAGCCATGTGTTGATAAACTGCAAACTGTCTTAAATCTTAAGTCCATGACAGCTTTCCTCTGAGTGACCCCATTGTGCAGAGAGAAGAAACACTGGGGAGGGAAAGTATCAGAACTCTGGCTGCCATCCAAACTGGACCAAACTGGTCCAAAAACATCACAGTGTTCAGAGATAAAGGGTCTGCTTGCATCTAGCAGCTCAAGGTGTTGTCTTGTGGAGAAATGGAAGCAAACGATGGAGGTGGACCACAGCTCCTGAGCAGCTGTTGAAAGCTATGATTGATTGATCATGTGATCCTTTTGACCTATAAATGTCTCAAATCAACAAATTCTTTTCAGTATCTGATGAGACTAAACAGAGTAGATATAACTAACACTGAATTGGCTGATTTTCATTTGTTAAAAAGTTTTCTAAGCCAACATTGGCATCTTGGGAAAACGGGAACAGTTTAGCATTTATCTTTTTTTTTTCTTTTTTTTTTTTTTAAAGGCATATGTTTGATGAATGAGATATTGCTTTTGGCACCATGGAGTATTTATTTGTCATGGCCTATTTGTTGTTTTCTTCCAAGCTGGAGGAGGTACACTTGCCTTCAACGCATCACCCCGCATTTCTTGATGTCGCCGCATGACGCCATGTCTGGGGAAATGGCTCATCTGTAGGAGAGCTAAACAAAGTCTAAAGGGGAACGCCGTTTTTTTTACATTGGGCCCTTGATTTTACGTTATTACATCATGTTCTACTCACCCATATGGGTTTTGTGTCATTTGGAGCCGTTCTGAAGATATTCCGTTAGGCAAATCACTGTCCCCCAGACATCCACCGTTTATATATTTTTCTTAAATAAAGCGGTGTGTGTATGATGTCATCTGTGCGTGCCGGCTACCGTTCATTCATCCTGTCCGCTAAACTGCTGCTAGTTTTCCTCACATGCCTGGAAGATGTCTAGTTCTGCTACCACAGATGATCTCGCTCTCCAAATGGAATTGAACGATTCAGATTAGCTAGCCGAATGATTTGAAGGGGTGGAGCGTAGCCGCCTGTGGCCCGGGCTGCCTGTTACGACTCTATTGCGCATGCACGGATGACGTCATACACACTCAGCTTTGTTTTAAAAAAATATTAATATAAAAAATCTAACCGTGGATGTCTGGGGGACAGTGATTGGCCTACATGTTCTGAATGCTGGCGTACCATAAAGAATAAATTATGAACAGTTTAGTTTGTGCCTTCAAGTCGTTGCTCATAGGAAGACGTTACTGTATATAACCTAACGGAATATCTTCAGAACGGCTCCAAATGACACAAAACTCATATGGGGGAGTAGAACATGATGGAATAATGTAAAATCAAGGGGCCAATGTGAAAAAAACAGTGTTCCCCTTCAAGGTTAATGCTTTCCCCACATAGGCAGCTAATTTTTCTATGACAGGAAGCGGCTGCTGTGCAGAATTCATAAGGATTCCTCAGACAACCATGAATCAACCTAATTTGCTCTTTGGAAACGGTTTTGTCGAGGGAATATTATCATGTAGTTAAAAGATAAAGAAAATTTATTCTGTGCAATATTAGCCGTTTATGGTCTCACTGCTGCATCTCATGGTTCAGTCAACTCATGGTTGGGAGAGCTTATATTCTCAATCTTAAAAAATAAATAATTTAAAAGTAGAATCAAATACAGCTCGGTGCAACATTAGATCACAGAGTTATAATGTTTGTTTTTTCCTCAGATCTCTGTTAGTTAGTAATTATTAGCTGATTGGCAAGTTGATAACAAAAAAAAAAAGAGTTAACTCCAACGTCTGAGGGTAGTTACCATTTTAAAATAAAGGCCATCAAAAATAAAGGATTATTTTGATTTATGATATTGAAGATATTTGGACTTTACATAAAGTGTAGAAAATGCTTCTTAGGCTGAAGGGAAGGATGCAGGAAGCTCGTCTCCATCTGTAGCAGAATTACATCTCATTGCACTGAATCCAACCTTTCCATTACCTCCTACCTGCAAACACTGCAGCGCCTTGTTGGACTTCAAATTAGAGGCTGCAAAGTCAAGAATGATAGCGCTTATAATGACACATGAAGAATGAAGGATTTTCCGCCACTCCTTTAAATCTTACTGCTAATTATTTAACACAAAATCTCTCCCATTTTAGTCATGCTAAACATCAACAGGAGTGAGATGTCATCTGATGTGATGTTCTCTAACCGCCTGCAGGAACTATCACGTGTTTTACTACCTGCTGGCTGGAGCCAGTGAAGAGGAGAGGAAGGCATTCCACCTGCTCAAACCAGAGGAGTACCACTACCTTAACCAGGTCAGCCGCCGCACAGACTCCCACAAACACACAACAGATACGGCAGAAAGAAAATAAATCACTGCAGGACTTTCATGGTTTGACATTATTAAATGAAACACAGCAGACTTTCTCTCTGGTGACTCCTGTTTCCTCATTTAGTGCAGCGAGTCTCATCGTCGCCCACAAGTTCTGGTTCCAGTCTCCTTAAACTGGGACCACGTGTGTGTCTGTGTGTGTGTTTGTACATATGTTGTTATGCATGTGCCAGAATGCTGCATCCTACATACGTGTGCATCTATAAAGATACATCTGTGTTAGCTTTCAACTGATGCGTGAGGATTCACCCCCCCACCCCCATAGCACAGTATTGCTCTAAGGAGTCAGATAAAAGGATAAAATCGCTTTCCTCAGTTCATGTCCATCTATTTCCATCTATTTCATTTAAAGAACATAATTTGGTTCCCCCTTGATCCCCCTTTTAATCCCCACAACAACAAAAACAACGACCCCCACCACTTTCTTTTTATGCATTTACCCAGCCCTGTTTCCATGGCAACAGGAAAACTGTAAAGTCAGTCTGCTGCCGATTCGGTCGTGTGTAGAATGTGCCAGAGGTCACATGCTTTCGCTTGCTTTCTTTGGGGAAAATCGAACCGGAAAAAAGGTGAAGAAACTAGTGTTTCTACTGAGCGCTCTCTTCTCACAGCGTGTTTGTGACGATGCGCACGCCCCCCACCACTAGATTAAATGGAGTCAGTTAAATCACTAATGAATATTCCAGCTGTTTTACTACCCAAGCTCCTCAATTTGAGTTTGTTTATTCACCATTTTGCTAGGAAATAAACACTGTGGGGTAAATTGAAGATCGGCATTTTTGAGGCTGATTCAAACTCCCTAATATCAAAAAACTGACCCCCAACCATCCTATTTCTCTTTTAGGACCACGATTAAATACAAAACATTTTGGTATTTCACTTTTGGATTAACTGAATAGAAACACTTTAAGGGTTTATCTAAGAACAGAATCTATGGAGGTGTCTCTGTTTGGGTCACTAAAAGTATGGGGAGAAATCTGTTCCAATATTATGAAACCATAAGCATGTTTTAGAAAAGGAAATATGAAGATTATAAGTTTCAAAAATGGAACCTTTAGAAACTTCTCAATTGAAAGTAAAATGATTTGAGAGTAACTATTATTATTTTTTATTTTATTATTTCATTTTTTAGGTTTGGGAGGACTGAGTTCTTTAAATTGCATTAATTTTTAATTGTGTTTTACAGATTTACACTTGCCGTTGTTCTGTGCTCAGACCAATAGAAATGGGTCTGCTTTGCTTGGATATTAGTAACAGCATTTCTATTGGTCTGCACACAGATCAACAGAAGTAGTGGATTTTGAAAAGAATGCAGTCTTCAAAATTAGAAAAAATGAAAGTCTGGAGGTTATCAATTACTCCAAATTCCTTTAAAATTGAGAAGTTTGTAAAGAATTATATTTCTATGATACTTTTTCTTTAAATTTCATTTTTTGAAAGGAATTCTTTTCTTTCATTAATTTTGGAACATATTTCTCTCCATATTAAGAAGGCAGCTGGAGTTTCATTGCTCTGCTCTGAAACAGGATTTTTAAAAAAGCTTTCAGACATCCTGCCTTTCTTACAGGGTTGTCTGGTTATAGAATATGAAGGTAGCTGAAGACAACTGCATTGTAATTTGTTTTGTTTTTTTATTGAGGTTTTCTCAGGTTTTATGCTTGCAGAAAAAGAAAATAAAATGCATTTTAAACAGCTGGGGCCTTGTCCTCCAAGGTCTTCCTGTAGAAAAACGTATAAAAACGTCATAGAATGGGCCAAGCTGATCTGCTAACATTGAATTGCGAGTCTAAAATGAGCTGGACTCCAGACATTTTAGTAACCTTTGCCTTCATGAAAATGGATGAAAATTTCTATGACCTTCATGTAAAAATTGACCCACAAAATGATTTTAATATTCCTCTACATGCTCTGTTCGAAGCACAGTTATCCTGGATTAGATTATTATTGATCTGCATTGGTTTCCAATATTTTGGGCCAAAGGGGAGCTGCTGGAGGTCAGGTGTCAGGAGTTTAGTTTAAATACATTATTTTCGGTTTTTATAATTTTTTTATTTTTATTTATGAATTTGCATCCATCCTGTGGCCCACCAAATATCCAACCCTCTGACTTAAAATGCAGCATTTTATCCCTCGATTAGAACACAGCATTTTATCCCTCAATTAGAAAACTGAAGCAGGAAAAATATTGATAAATATGGGTAACAATGGGGATATTAGAAGCTCACAGATGAGATCATAAGTAATTGATCATAAACTAGTGGATTTAAACATATATAATTAACCGTGTATGTGTAATCTGTAATCTTTCTGAGTTTGTGCAGATTTAAGGTGTGTTCAAGATTAGCATCACATTTAATGTTGCTTTCCTGCCAGCTGTCTCTGCTTTAGACCTGCAGCGATTTCTCTTACGTGACGCAGTTTTTCTCAGTCAAATTGTCAGTTTTGTTTTAACCCACTTTGCCTTGCTTCCAGATGACTAAGAGACCCCACAAACTCCACTGGGACAATTGCTATGAGACTGAGCTGGTCAGTATGATGCCAGTTTGTTTGTGTACGTCTGTGTTCATGGGTGTGTCGTGCTTCAGTGGGATTTTAGTGCAAGTTCTGGTCTTGGTGTCTCCCAGCTGTCCACACCCGCCTGCTCTTAGTGAACCAGACCGACTTTAGAGGCAACCTGCTCCAGTTCATTGTGCTACTAAGATGTTTGAAAGGATACCTTATAATACTGGTCCTTGTTGATTAGGGATGCACCGTTTCCAGTTTAGGGCTTGTTTCTAATAGGTTTTTGTTTTGTTTTGAGTTTTTTAAGCTTTGACTTGCTTATACATATATTTTTTCAACTTCTAATTCGTTCCAAGGACTTTAATATGACAGGAAGCAATAACATGATGCTTTTCTTCTAGTTTTCTCCAACATCGGTGATCAATAATTCATTAAAACAATGTCACACATGACTAAATTCTACCAAAAATGTAGAAATGTCTGTTATATTCATCGATTTACAAACAAAACTATTTCCTAATGTGGAAAGGTCATCAATTTGCAATAAGAGATCATTTTCTTTTGATCTCTTTAAAAAAGATACTTTTAAGATATTAAAGCCATTATTGCAACACATTATTTTATAATCCTAGACTCATTATGAATACTCTTATGTATGTGCTCAAATTTGAAAAAATTCATAGAAAGTTCAGCGTATGGCCGTGTTTTTGTTTTAGGAGACTCTGGGACATAAGGCATGTGACAGAGGCTTAATCTAACGTCCTGGTCTGAGATGGCGAGTCCACACCTGGAAAAATACCTGAATCTGAGTTTACTAAAGTTAACTATTAAATGCTAGAAGACTATTTAGAAACCTTAAAAAAAATTGCTTTGCTGCTACTGCTTAACTAAAAAGCGTAAAATAGTATTTTAGGTGTAATTCTTGCTCATTTATGTAATTATTGAAAAGGAATTTTATTTTTATTTATTTCTGGCAGATATTAGTCTTTAATATTGGATTCTGGACAGTGTCCAGTGTGTAAAATTAATATTTTAGACATTATTTTTATTGTGTTTTATCCTGAATTAAGTCCATAATACTCCCCAACATTCTGCTTTAGAGAAGAGTCGTTGCAAAACAGTTGCAAAAATAAATCTTTAGAACCTGTTTTTTCAGTTTAGAGGCGGGTAGAGTACCAAGAATTATTCTGAAAAAGATTTAAAACTTGTCTGATAAAAGGACTAAATAAGGACTGAGTAACTGATCTACTTGCTATTCATGATCATAATATTTTTTTATTGATGATAAGTTACATTAAATATGAAGTTATTTGCAAATTTTGGTGATTAAAAAAATAAGATAAAAAGAAAATAATGGTATAAAATACAGCAATTATACACAATTATGATTCCAGGTTGAATAAACACTGTTCAAAGAATATTTTCGGTTATAAAATATACGAAATCAAGACTTAAAGGTAACTTAAAGTTTAGTTCGTTAGTAAATAGTATGCTGTATCTGGTTAGTGGAAGTAGCTTACCCTATTCTGGATTTTCCTTTGACCTCCAAATATTAAAGCAGGATCAGAAGATTAAAAAAAAAAATAATTAATGAAACTTGCATAGAAAACAGAAGTTTGACTAAAGCATGAACTCCATCTGTGTCCCTCTGGTTATTTTGGCTTAATACAAGCTTCTCATGATGAGTAGAGTTGCCAGAAATGTTACCCAAATAAGAGTGATGATACTTTATATTTTCATTCAAAGTTACTAAAGTAAATGTAACTAGTTACTACCAACCTCTGTCTTTAGATAATGTAGATCCTTAGGTTAGATTTCCAGGAGGCTGCCGTTGTTTTCCAAATTGGGATGTTCCCCCTAAGTGATAGAAGATGGGTGAAACTCTGTTCAGCCTTCCTGTTATCTGCAGTAGTTCTGCTCTTCTTGAGTCTAAATCCGACGCAGAGATGCCTTCAAAATAGAGGTCTGGTTTTGGACAAACAGCTCAAATCTCTTTTACTTCATTCTAAACACAATGCTGCTAATAAAACGCGATAAATGCGAAAATTCTTCCCTCAGTAGCGGCCTTCACACTGAAGACTGTTGTTATTTTTAGTGCAGCCTGGTAGAGTTTTAATGTTTACAGATCCAAAACCTGTATTTAAATTCTTCTGTGTTGCATTCAGGGACAATTTTCTGATTTCTCGGTGCATCTCTACTATTTATAAATTAAAACGTAAATGAGAAGGAATCCCTTCAAACAACTCTTCTGGATGATGCTGCTGTTACTGATATCAACGCAGGAAACTGCCATCTTTATAAGGAAGCTTCAGGGTTATCAATGGCCTGAAACTCAGCTTAAAGATTCTACAGTTTCCAAAATGATAGAAGCACTAATATGGTTAGCTGTCTCAAAACCATTAACAGACAAATAAAGCACAAAAACAATTCCTATATATATAATATAAAGTCTCTAGAGTAATGATTTGTTGCAGATTTATAGATCTGGATTTTAAGTTTAAATTGGCTTGTGATCAGAGAGGTCCTACAGGCTTCAAGTCCGGAAACTTCCCTACAAAGTGTGTGGTCTGGGTCCATTGTGTGTGTTTCATCGTTCGGCTGGTCTTTGCCACTGTCCAGCAGGCCTCAAGATGAGGTGTGTAATGTTTGGTCAGCGGGATTTGTTGTGTGTGTTTAAGGGATTTGGTATCGCCTAATGGGAGATTATGTTCCTCCAACTGTGTCGTTGAGCAAACAGCCGAGCCATGAGAATTGTTCCGTACAAATATGACTCCCAACTCCACCGCCGATCATTCTTGACTTTAGCTTAGCGTCTGCTGTTTTCAAAGTGCTGTTTTATCCCAGGCTTTACCCATTCCCAAAACGGGAATCACAATATCATGACATTCTCTTTAGAGAGGGTGTCCAAGAAAGCTGGGAATGAAACACCTTGCAGACGTTTGACTGCCTCAGAACATTTCCTGCAGCGAAACAGTCGCTGATGTTTCTCCTTCACTGCTGTGAATTAATCTCCAACTCTCAGCCGAGCTGTAAAGAAGAACTTTATTAGCATGAAGAGAGATGTATGGAACTCACCGAGCCAGTTTCACTGCAAGAAGACTTTGAGAGTTTATGAGGAAGCAACTTTTTTCTCTAAATCTTGATTTAGTTTTTTCAATGACATTGTAGCGTTATTTTTTACAGTTATTCCCTTTGCTTAGATTTACCTTTAAAAACCCTCCTGAAATATAAAAGTCATCCAACTTTGAAAGGCTCAGTACAAAGCAACGTGTCAGTCCTCTGAAATACAGAAATGACTGGTGGTTTTTTAGTTTTGCCAGGAAATGCAAGTGCAACCTGTATAATTAATGAACTGCTGAGTGAAAACAACCCTCTGTGGCGTAATATGTTAACCCAGCTGTGTCCAGACTTCATGCAGGTTTGGGTTTGGCTTATGGGCTTCATCCAGTACTCATGTGTATCTTTGAGCCCTATTAAAAAGTCATTTGCACAGAATAATCTAGCCAAGAACACTAAAGAGCTATTATTGGGATTAAGATTAACTCAATTCTAGTTGTTAGGTTTTGGACTAGCTGGTGTGCATCTTGATCTGTAAGTGTGTGAGGAAAGGTTCACTTCTCATTACGGGGCAACACTTGGATACAGAGAGAATCAAATGCACCTAAATCATGCTTAGTGCAGGTAAGCCGGAGTAGAGTTCTGCAACGGGTCGGGTACCCGCGGGTCCCAGACGGGTCACCCGCTAAAATGCTCTTTTGCGGCTGAAAAATACATAAATAAAAATAAACGGGTACGCGGGGTCGGGCGGATATTTTTTTAGTGCGTGCGGGTAGTTGGTAATTTTTTTTATGCGTGTGTGTTGTTATGGACATCAGAAATGTTATATTAATCAGGCACTGAGGTCACCCTTGTTGTAGCTTAAAGCCCTGCGGGCAGTGTGGGGACTTCCCTCCAAAAAGGCCACAATCAGTGCATACACGTCTGCTGCAGTGTTAATGGCGCTGTTCTGCAGCGCAGCGTACTATAGCCTATTACTTGATGTGTTAACGGGTCGGGTTGCGGGTTAAATATCAACGGGTCGGGTTTGGATTTGAATTGAAGATATCCGCGGGTGACGGGTCGGGTTCGGTAGTCATCCTAACGGGTTCGGGCGGGTGTGGGTTGGTAAAACTCGACCCGTGCAGGACTAAGCCGGAGTACCCGGAGAGAAGCCATGCGTGCATGGGGAGAACATGCAGAGAGAGCGGAGCTGTGATTTAAACCAGCTGCCAAGCACCAGTACTAATTACAGTTCCATCCTGCTTCTTATTATTTTCTGTCCTCTTTAGATGTTTTAACCTTATTAACATTTAAATATTTTAACCTTATTAACATTTAAATATTTTAACCTTATTAACATTTAATCCAATGAAGTGTTCTTGTGGCAGCTGTTTTCCTGGACACTTCCCTTCTTTAAAAGGAGGGAAATTCCCATTATGTACTTGTATAAAAAAGAATAAGGTTATATACACCAACGGTTCGTACTGGTGGTGTTTAGATTGTCCTTTTTGAGCCTAAATAGAGTTTCAGCACAGGACACCATGAGCTGACATAGACAGACTTGGGGCCATCTGCTTGCAGTACTGTGGACCTCTCAGAAAGCTGAATTGCGACTACAGGTCGGCCCTCCTGCAATGCCTCACAGTACAGACCAACAGATATGGATTAAATAAACTGATCTACAGCAACTCTATTCTAGTGAATCTTACCCACAGCGTCTAATCTGAAACAAAAAAAAAATATTATAGCAAATTCAAACAGGCACACAGATGGAATACCTGACTGGTTTCATCCTTGATGCGATCTGTTTATAATGAACTTGGACTGTAGAGACTGACGACATTCTATTGTTTAAAAATCTTCTGAAGAGGATGTTCACTGCTGGGCATAGTTTTCTTCACTTTATGAAGAATTCTCTTGTTGAAATAGTCACCAGAGGCTCTAGAGGAGTTCCTGGTTGATTCTCAGTCATCCAGGTTACAGTCATCCCAAAACTGTTAAAAAAACAGTCCACTGGACTTTGTTTCCAAGTTTGAAGACGTAACGCTCTCCATCCAGGAAGCTTTTTCAACTCAAAATGTCAGAAATAGTGTTGAATGTTTTCCAAATCAAAACAAGGCTTTGTTTTTGGTCCACTCTATAAAGCCTGGAAATTAACATTATTTCTAATATTTTGAATTGAAACAGCTTCCTGGATGGGAAGTGAAACGTCTTCAAACTTGGAAAAAAAGTCCAGTGGAGTCTAGAGGAGTTCCTAAAACACAGTCTGCCATCTTTATTAGCTTGTTGAGTTCTTTTAAGACATGATCTCTCTCAACTTTATTGTTCTCACATTGTAGAAATTTACCTCTGCATTTAAAGGGGAACACTGTTTTTTACATTGGTTCCTTGATTTTACGTTATTCCATCATGTTCTACTCACCCATATGAGTTTTGTGTCATTTGGAGCCGTTCTGAAGATATTCCGTTAGGTTATATCCAAGTAACGTCTTCCTATGGGCAACGACTTGAAGGCACAAACTAAACTGTTCATCATTTATTCTTTATAGTACGCCAGCATTCAGAACATGTAGGCCAATCACTGTCCCCCAGACATCCACAGTTATATTTAAAAAAAAACAAAGTGGAGTGTGTATGACATCATCCGCGCGCCGGACTGGAGTAGTGCCAGGCAGCCCGGGCCACAGGCGGCTACGCTCTACCCCTTCTATTCATTCTAGCTTATCTAATCGTTCAATTCCATCTGGAGATCGAGATCATCTGTGGTAGCAGCACTAGACATCTTCCAGGCATGTGAGGAAAACTAGCAGCAGTTCAGAGGACAGGAAGAATGAATGCAGCCGGTGTTCCCCTTTAACCCATCCCCTTGGGGAGCAGTGGGCTGCCATCGTGCGGCACGTAGGGAGCAGTGTGGGGTTAAGGGTCTTGCTCAGGGACCCAGAGTGGAGGCTGTGGGGATCGAACCAGGTACTTGCAACCTTCTGAGAACACAAACACACTGCTCTAACCACTAGGCCAACACTCCCCCAAATATTTTTAATTAATTGGAAGAGATCAATCTCCAAAACAGACTGATAGAAGATTTGATGCATCTTGCTGCAAAAGCAGAAGGACCTTAGCTGCCTTAGGAAGTCCAGTCTGCTCTGTTCCTTCTTGTAGACGGCTTCACAGTTGCATCTCCAGTGAAGTTAGTTGTCAAGGTGAATCCCAATGTATTTCTACTCCTCCACCACCTCCACTTCTTCTCTTTTGATGTTAATAGGATTCAACTTGTTCCTGTTTCTTTCAGCGCTGTTCCAGGCTTATCCTTCTTGAATTCAAAGAAATCAAATGTTTTTTGTTTGTTTTGTTTTATTTTACACTAGATTTTTTTACTTTTCTTTATTTTTTCCACATTTTGCTCGGAGACGCTAACTGGCTTATTAGGCTACTTACTTGTTTACCCCCTGCACACATGCCCAGTTTCATAGCTCTGTTATTGAAAATATACACAAACGGCTTTATTTACTTACAAACCCCAAAATAACAAATCACACACCAGCTGGACGCAGCAATCTTCCAATAATCTTCATCTCTTCTCCTGGTTCTACTCTGTTGTTGCTTTCAAAAAAGGCCTCTGAATAACCCCATCCTGTCTGTGACCCCCACAGGTCAAGCAGAGGGTGGCTTTTTATTCACTGACGTAGAAAACGGAAAGTTTGGTGGACTAAGGCCACATATCTGATCATCTGACCAACCCTAAAGGCCTGTTCAACCTTTGACCTCTCCCAGTGGTCCGAGTGTGCTGAATTCCACACATGGAGCTGGCCAGCAGTTTGAACAGCTGCAAAAAAATTCCAGAGATCTGGAAGTAAAAATAGAAAATAAATAAAAGGAAATGGAGAAAAAAACAGTTTATGCTTCAAGATCCCAAAGGCCAAACATTTTGGATGTATTTGAGTGTTGGGTGGCTGTGGGGGCGTCTCTCTCCTGGTGGTGAAGGATGTCTGTTGGTGGGTTGGAGAGCAGACTGGTTGCTTTAGCTGATTAACGGCATGGATGATGCAAAAGAGGAGAAGTTACATCTACACCTCCTGCCAAGAGGCTCCATAATCCCTAAACGCTCCCACTTTGTTACAACCATAAACTTCTATGGCTTTTGTTGTTTTTTTTTTGTTAGATTATGAGAGCAAAAATAAACAGTTAGGATTTATGTACAAATTTAGCACTTACTGGCCCATTGAAGGTGGCAGCATCATGCTGTGGGGGTGGGATGTGTTTGGCAGGGGAAGAGAAGCAGGTCATCAATCAGGAGAGGATGCAGGGAGAAAAGCAGGAATTTCCTGGAAAAAAAAACAACCTGTAGGCCTATAGAGGGAATTGTTTCATTATTGTTGCAAGCTAAGAACATGTTTTGTCAATAAACTTTACAAAAATAAAAAAAAATTATGTTGTAGTTTGTAAAAAAAATAGAAAATAAAAATGCAATTCAGAAATAAAACGGAGAAATATTCTAATCAAAGGTTTGCTGTGCTCATAAAATGTGGCCTTGTTTTTCAAAAATAATATTTTTTACATGTAGTTTTGTTTGGATATAATACTTTTTCAAATATTTCTAAAAGAATATTTTTTACAGATTTTAGATTTTGCTAACGTCCAGCAGACCAATAGAAATCTGTCTTAGCTCCTCCCTCCTGAGGGAAGCCCCGCCCCCAGAACCGAAAGGAATTTGATTTGTAAAACACAATTTGAAAGAAATCCACTTTCTAAAACTTAAGACATGTCATTTGAGAAAAATTTTAAATATAGATTCTGTAAAAGAATAAATAAAAACCATAGAAAGTAGAAAAGTTAATCTCATACCCTTTGATAATATTTTTTCAAAGTTTCCTTTTTAAAATGCATTAGAAAGGGATTTAATATATACATTTTTTATTCTTTTTCAGATATTCCATTTAAATGTGTTCTTTGCTTCAAATAATACTGGAACAAAATTCCCTCTATACCCATTAGATTGTTTCCTTTGCCTTAAATCACTGCTTTGTGTTTAGTTATATCCCAGTCTAAAGTACATCCTTGTATCTGGAGGTGTTAAAAGTTCAGGGGGTGTGAATACTGTCGCGAGGCACAGCAGATGTGGATCTGATCACTCTGTTAATAAGCGACCTGAGAAATGTTATTCTGTGTCTCAATAATCTTCTTTGCTAAACTCAAAGATCTCCCCTGACTTAAACCCCAAATAGCAGAAGTTTTGGTTTTCAACCAAAGCAATCCCTTGAGGCTGCCAAAGCTGATCTCTGTATTTCCTCCACTTCCATCAGTGTATCAAATTGTGCAGCTTTTTGGGGGGGCTTGAGGTCGAAAATAACCGGCGGCCATAAAACTCGTCTTTCGCGGGTCTTGCCGTTCCACCAGAAACCTCTGTGGCGCTTTGCTGCAATCGGAGAAGCTAAGCAGCGAAGTTCCCTGAGTCGTTACTGGCCAGAGGAAACAATGGAGAGGAGTGTAGAAACTTGTGGATTATAGGTTCCTCTGTCTTCCATCGCAGGCCGCTCGCTGTGGTATGTGCTAATTACAGCTGGCTGTTGGGAGCAGAGAGAAGGCTGACCGAGCAGCTTCCGAGGAGGCACTTCCTGGATCGCTGGACTCCTCAGACATCATTAGTTAGGGTCTGAGTGATGGCAGAGATCCTCCATCTCAACCTTGGAAACAAAGACTGCCTGATATCAGAGTCTCATGATTTCCCAGGAATGTACTCATGTTCGGCATCCAGGTTTCCCCCCTTAGTGCTGCTGTGGCCTGCTGCTCCTCTGCAGAAATAAACCATGGAAATGATATGTTTTGCTTGACATTGTGACATGTTGGTTGAGCCGCATGCTGTCAGTCTAACGCGCTTTGATCCATTCATTGCTGATGTGCCATAAATGTAAAATCAGGTTGATTTTTCTGATACTACCTGCGCTGATTTTTTTTTTTGGTCTCTGCTCTTCTGTCTCTGCATGTTTTCTTCTGACACCAGCACGACTGTTTTACTGTGGAGGGGGAGGACCTGAAGCATGACTTCGAGCGTCTACAGCTGGCCATGGAGATGGTGGGATTCCTACCCGCCACACGCAAACAGTAAGACAGCCCAGACAGAGATGAAGCATAACCGTAACCCCGCAGCCTGTTGGAAAATTAAATCAACCTGTGAACCTCCTCTGAGCTTTATCAGCTCTGTTTCGTTTTATTTATGGCCTTCCCCTGACTCAAACTGTTCACTCAGCAGATGGGTTGCTGGGAAGGATCTGCATGTGAAAGCGATAACCAAACCTTTTTTTTTCTCCAGGATTTTCTCCCTGCTGTCTGCCATTCTGCACCTGGGGAACATCCGCTACAAGAAGAAAACCTACAGGGATGACTCCATCGACATCTGTAACCCAGAGGGGCTGCCCATCGTCTCAGAGCTGTTGGAGGTAAGCCCAGAATCCAGACGGATCAGCGAAAACTTCATGTTCTCTAGAAAAGGCTGTTTCAGAAACTCTACACCATTGGGGTTTAACCTCTGCCCTGCTGGACTACTTTGAACGCTGCTCCAAAGTGCTTTTATATTCTGTATTGGATCAAGAAAGGAGGTTCAGAGTTTCTGTTGAGGGCAGAGATTAGGAGATGCTTCAGCTACAATTAAATTAATTTATCTATATGACACCAATTCACAGCATGTCGTCTCAAGGCAGGTACAGTAACAATTCAGTCTGACCATACGATCAGATTAATGGTTCAATAAACTGAAGCAGATGATTACATCCAGTCATTGGCTTTGTAGCATCTACTCCCCTCAGGTGAGCACCTGTCAACAGTAGATATTGGCTTGCATTTTGTCGTTGACTCTACAGCAATCCCTCACACCAAGCATGCTTGTAGCGACAGTGGAGAGGGAAAACTTCCAATTAACAGAAAGAAACCTCCATCAGAACCAGACTCAGTGTGAGCGGCCATCTGCTGAGGCCGACTATGGTTCAAGGAGAGAGAAGCAGACATAGAAAAAGAAGCAAAAGGCGACTGTCAACCAGCTCCACAGGC